ATGTAACCTTTGATGGGGCGGCCACCGTCTTTAGCTGGTGGGGTCCACGCAAGGGTGACATTATGCTTGGTTTTGTCAGCAATCTCAGGAGCTGCTGGCATGCTAGGTGGAGCTGTACACACACACAAAAACATGAAATATGTTAAAAACAACATGCATAAAAATCTGTTCAAAATAGAAATGCACTTAATTTCTGTTCTTACTCAAGGGATCGTCAGCAACGGCAGACTCAGAGATGGCACTAGGTGGTCCAATACCAGCAGAATTACAAGCCATTGCACGGAATTCATACTCCGTTCCTTCGATGAGACGGGTAACCTGGTATTCCCAGCCTTTCATGCCACGTTTTGACACCAGGATCTTATTCACGCGAGACCAATACGAAGTGCCCTTTTCACGCTTCTCAAGCCAGTAGCCAGTAATCATAGAACCACCACTGTCCCTAGGTGGTTCCCATGTCAGTATCATATGGGTCTTAGAGCGCTCAGCAATAGTGACCTTCTCAGGTGGGCCAGGCAGAGCAAAAGGATCCTTAATCTGAACCTCCTCTGTTTCACAGGCCTCACTTATTCCATATTTATTCTCAGCTTTGACTCTGAATTTATAGTTGCCACCAGTTTTCAGGTTCCATACCTGCAAAAAAACATTAAATCTTTATATTGTCCTTTAACAATATGATATCATATTTTTTCTATTTGTATTGTATAAACAAATGTATCTTTTTTGATACATTTTGAATGACTACCTATACAACTGCTTTAAAATAATTGTTTAGCTTACCGCATAATGCTTCTCGATAATGGAGTTAGTAACCTGCACCCACTCGGCCTTTTCAGGATCTTCACCATTAAGGTCTTTCATCTCAACAATGTAGTTGGTAAGTTCACTGCCACCAAGATCCAATGGGGCATCCCAGGATAGTTTGCAAGACTCAGCTTTGATATCTGAAACAGCAATGTTTCTTGGTGGTGTTGGGCGATCTACAAAAAAAGAGATTATCAAAGATCATTAGGTATATGCAAAATATACAAACACTTTGGACACTTAAGATGTGACTTACTGCATGTCAATGAATCGCATAACAAAAAATATAAAATCAAGAGGAATATGTTTTATAGAAACACTGTACAATGTAAAACATTTCACACATTTTTTTGGTGTGTTTTGTTGAACATAAGAGACAAAGAGATAAAAGTATTATATGCACTTTGTGGTGTCAAACATTAGTGGAGAATTTCCATAGTTAATGTGATGAACTACACCTGCGGCTACTAGGTGAACTTGAGGAGAACTGACTCCATACATCCACTTAAATTACTTCAACACGAGTTGCATATGCTCTAGCACAATTTGGTTGCAGATCCCACTTGGCTTGATATTTTGCCATATGAACAGGTTTAACTGAAGTGTTCAAAAATGTCTAATATTTGTACACTACAGGATAACTTACCCAACACTTCCACCATGATGGAATGACCAAGAGATCCCAAACGATTTGAGGCAGTAACTGTGTATGTGCCCTTGTCCAATCTAGTAACACCAGGGATGGAGAGTTTTGTATGTGATGTCAGCCTATCAATCTCTTTGGTTTCTATCAGGAGTTTCTCAGTTGGCTTGGCAATAACAACATCATCCTTCAGCCATTCGATCTTTGGCATTGGCAGGCCTGTGACTTCAGCGGGCATCTCAATAGGTTGGTTTTTCCTTACTTGAATCAAATCACCCTTGAAGTGCTTTAACATATGCAGACTTGGAGCCACTATAATCATCAAAAGAAAGATGGAATATGTGTCATCTAAAATGTGTGTGCTGAGAGACATCATAAAACTCTGTGAAGAACAATGATGTTAAAACTAGAAAAGGACAAACCTTCATCATCTTGAATGACAACAGTCATGGTAATTGAAGGCTCACTTTCACCAAATGCATTGACAGCCTTTGCACGGAACTCATACATATGCAACTCATCAAGGTCTTCAACTGTCAAAATTTGAGCAGTCATCAACTCTGGGTTGACACGCTGGAAGGCTGGTTGATCTTGTCGCTTTTTCTCAATGATGTAGCCAAGGATTGGACTACCACCATCATTACGAGGTGGCCTCCATTCAATAGTAACAGAGGATTTGGTCCGCTCGGTATAGTGGAACTTTTCAGGAGAAGTTGGTGGACCTAACATTTAATACAAATATGACAATAAATACATAGGAACATTCATAATATTGAGTGCTATTGTGGGAGTAAAGCATTGTGCATACAAAATTTACCTTGAGGATCCACAGCACGGATAGGTCCAAGATCGACTGGAGGTCCACATCCATACTTATTCTTAGCCACAACACGGAAAATGTATTCCTGTCCCTCAATAATACCTACAATCTCACATTTGGATGAAGCGGTCTCAATAGGTTGTCTCCATGTGTGCATCTTTGGTTCCCTCCTTTCAACAATAAACCCTGTCAGATCACTACCACCATCATCATCAGGATCTGACCAATTCAACATCATTAGCTTTCTGGTAACCACAACAGGTTTCAGGTCAAGAACTGGTCCAGGAACATCTGAGAAGAGATTTTAAATGTGGGAAATTGTATGTCATGCATGCTGTAATGAGAATGAGTGTATGCATTTCAAATCCAAATTACAATGAAAAATTCTTACCCATAACTTCAACCCTGGTCCATGCAGACTTGATACCACTTGGATTTGCTGCTTGGATTTGGTATTTGCCGTGATCACTTCTCTTTGTGGTTTTGATAACAATAGTGCTGTCCTTTCCAGCTTCCTCTACCTCCATACGATCTTTTTCTAATGGACCATCATCCTTTGTCCATTTCAAAGATGGAAAAGGTCTACCAGTCACATGTGCTGGTATTCTCAGCATCTCTCCAGCTCTAACAACAACACCATTTTTCACTGAGATATCAAGCTCGATGACTGGAACCTCTGTTTTGACAAAGAAACAGAGACATATATTTAGCTGTTTATTTTAGAATAACACTTCAATTGATTATCAAATAAAGTTATTTTTATGTTAATACCTGCAGGGTTTCTCACAATAACTGCATCAGTAAAACCTGGTTGTCCTTCACCAGCACAATTGACTGCCACTACACGGACAATATATTTAGCTCCTTCTCTAACACCAAACACTGTAAATGTGTGGTTCTTCCATGGTCTCTCTGTGGCTCGTGACCAGTCTTTGGTACCAGCAACAACTTTGTCAACATGATAACCAAAGATGTCTGCGCCACCATTGTCTGCAGGAGGATCCCATTCAACATCAATTGAATAGTCTGAGGTGTCGACAATTCTTGGAATTGGTGGACCTGGGGGCCCTGAAATAAATAATTGTTATACAGTAATTATTATATTTTAAATCAATATTAATTTGATGTTACATTTATTTCTTATATGTTTATGGTTTATAGTCAATTCTAATACTACAAACTTACTGATTGATGCCTGTGCTGTTTTTGGCTCTGACGGGGGGCTGAACTTTCCAGGTCCTGCTACATTTTCCGCACAGACTCTGAAAATATATGTCAGACCCTCCAAAAGGCCCTCTACATTTATTTCCAAATCAGGAACCATGGTGCGATTGACTCTTGCCCAGTGTGTGCTGTTAACTTCTCGTTTCTCTACCCAGTATCCCTCAATGGGGCTGCCATTGTCTTTGGGTTCTGTCCAGGTAACAAGCATACTGCTGGCCGTGGAATCCTTAATTTCAGGTTTCTCCGGCGCATCTGGAGGATCTGAATTGACAAGGCATATCGAACTGTTTAATTAACTGTTAAACACAATAATGCAAATGATGATCTCAAGCAAATGTCTAAAAATCGGATTACCGAATGGATTCTTTGCAATGACGGGTTTGGAGATGCATGGGGTTCCAGGACCATACTTATTCTCTGCAGTGACACGGAAGAGGTACTCCTTGCCCTCAATAAGTTTTGGTACTTGAAATTTACAGCCTCTAAGGATTGAGGTTACAGTGACCCATCCAAGCTCCACCTTGGAGTTATC